TATTTGTGCTTCCACATGGTGGTTCACTCACCCTCTCATATTCTCACTATAAAACTCAGAAATGAAATCCTTGTGTGGTTTATTCCTTCTCCCTCCTTCGACACCCATAGCCCTGCTGCCATCTTCCACCGAACCCTCACCTCTGACTCCTCTTTCCCCATCTCCTCCCCACTCCCTGTCTCTACCTTCCCCCCGCCATCTCTACCTTATTGTCTGTCTCTTCATCCGTCTCTCCCTTGTTCCACCTGCCCTGTTAACCCCTCTCCACCACTTCCTTCTGTCTTCCTGCAGAAAATCTTCAGATTTTAGTCTGAAATTGTGAAACTCGGTGTTCAGTCTAAGTGCATAATTGAGAGCTGAAGTGCTGTCAGTTGAGCTTGTGTTGAGCTTCATTGGAACAAGGCCCAGGACAAAGATGTCAGCAGGAGTGGAAGAGAGAAAATTAAAATGAGAATGCATCAGAAGCTCAGGACCATGTCTGCAGACTTAACAGAGATGTTCTGCAGATCACTGCCACAATTTGCATTTGGATTCTCTAGTACATGCTATATTGTGATTGGTAAATTCGGTATCTTAAATTGAAAGAATTAATAGTAAGTAAGTGCCTGGAAAGAGTCTTTGGGGTCTTGGGTGGTGAGGAGAGAGGAGGTAGACGGGCAGGTGTTGGACCTTTTGTAATTGAAGGATCATGGCAGTGGTGGGATGTCATGGAAGCCGCAGTCCACCAGAATACGAAGGGCGGAGATGGGAAAAAGTGTTTGGCATTGCCATCATGCTAGAAGTGGTAATTTGCTGCAGTGCATCTTATAGTTGGTACATAGGACAGCCATGGTGTGTCCTTGGTGGAGGGAATTTAAAGATAGAGTGTCCATCAAATGAACTGATTTGTCCATGTTTGGTGCTGAGCTGCTGTTGTGTGGTGCTTTCATGAGACAAGTGGAGAGCCTTCTTGACTTTACCACAGTTCACCTCAGAATGCACCATCTCTAACCTGCTGTCATAGCCACAATATTTATATGACTAGTCCTGTCCAGTTTCTGGTTGGTGATAAGCCCCCAGGATATTGATTGTGGAGAAGTTAGTGATGATAATGCCATTGAATGGCATATCATGGTTAAATTATCTTTTGTTTGAGATGGTCAATGCTTGGTACTCGTGTGGTGCAAATGTTACTTGCATTTATCAGCCCAGGTCTTGCTGCATGTTGGCACACACTGCTTTCTATTTGACAAATCGCAAATGATGTGGAAAATTGTGCAATCATCAGCAAACATTATCACTTCTGACTTTATGATGGAGGGAAAGTCATTGATAAAGGGGCTGAAAATGGTGGGGCCTAGGACACTAATCAGAGGAATTTGTGTTGTGACATTTGGGTCTGAGATAATTGGCTCCAACAGCAATGATCATCTCTCTTTGTGCTAGGGCTCCCTGATGCCACATTCTGTCAGATACTGCTTGATATCAAGGGCAGTCATCTTTGGAATTCAACTCTTTTATTCACGTTTGGATCAAGGCTGCAATGAGATCTGGAGATGAAAAGACCCAAACTGAGCACAGGTTATTGTTGTGCAAATACCACTTGATAGCACTGGTAGTGACTCCTGATGATTGAGAGTAGATTGCTAAACTGGTAATTGAGTAGGTGGACAGGACATACTGGTTGGTTTCCACTTTGGTAGATACCAAGATTAAAGGTGTACTGGAGCAGCTTCATGATAATTCATTGTGTGCAAAGTATTTAATTTTCTGGGATATTATCAGGTGTCGTATGAATGTAAGTGTTTCTTTTAATTTCGGGGAACGAGGAGGTCAAAACATTCTCTGGGCCTGTTTAAGGTCAGAGGTCATTATTTCTGAATTACTTGATCAGATATACTTTGAACAACAACGGTGTGCAGGCTTCTGCACCTATTACTGTCTCTCGCAACCAATGCCCTCTCTCATTATTGAGTTACACTGAGAACCAACTCCAGTATAATGAATTTAATTTAAGTGAACATCCCGAGACAATTGAAAACATGCATGACTTATTGAAAGATAAATTTGTGGAGATATCAGTAAGATGCACAAAGCACTTTTTTAATGAACGTCTAATGGAAAAAACCCACTTGTTCAAATCATATTTTATGCATTTCAGCACTCATATACAATCTGTTGCAGAAGGCCCTTTAGTAGGCACTTTTTTTTATATTAAAGCATAATCTTTGTTTAAATATTCTGCTCATCTGCTAGTCTTACTTAAAGGATTGATAAACAGGTGGGTGGCTGTATTTTCACTTTTTTTTATTCCTTGTCAATTTTCTCCTCTCCCAAAGTCCCTCAAATCCAGTCCCATGGAAACTGGCTTCTGTCTGGGAGCTGTTATAAGGGACCTCTTTCGTTGAACATAGACAGTGAGCATCAAGCAAACTGCTCACTGCAGCCAAGTCCTGCCCTGTCCTGTCTTTGATGGAAAGAGCCTGCACATCCAAATCTCATTCAAGGTTCAGGAATGGGGACTTTGATTGCTCTCTTCCCACAAGTCCCCAGCTCAGGCAGAAAGGCCAGTCATATCTTTAGCCAAGAGCTTTTCTCATTTCTTGTTTAGGGTAACATGAAAAAAGCCCTCATTTTTGGTGCCTACAGCAGTGACTACGGTTCATCTAAATGGCACTCCGTATGACGATGAAGTATGTATTTTAATTGGACACACACCTTAGAATAGCAGCCTGTTATTTAACAGACAAGAGCAAACTGACAGGACCATGCCAGATCTTGCAGGACTCTTCAGGAGACATTCTTTCTTGCCTTTTAGAAAGACAGATTTAAGAATTCAGCTTGATACATTGGTTAGCACTCTTAGCTTTGAGTCAGAATATTGTGAATATACTTTGTATTCTTGGATTGTGGCCAAAGTTGTTGTTGATTGCCTATTCTTTTGTTGCCATGAGAAACAATAATGACCTGTTCTTGATAGTTATTGTTAGTAGTTTGCTAGGCCAGTTGAGAGGTTAGTCAATGGTCTTTAGTTGCATGTGATCCAAACCATAGAGTCACAGAGCTGTACAGCATGGAAACAGAACCTTTGGTCCAACTCATCCATCTCAACCAGATATCCTAAGTTAATCTAGTCCCATTTGTCAGCATTTGGTCTATATCCCTCCAAATCCTTCCTATTCATATACCCATCCAGATGCCTTTTAAATGTTGTAATTATACCAACCTCTTCCTCTGGCAGCTCTTTCCATGCACCCATCACCCTCTGCATGAAAAAGCAGCCCCTTAGGTCCCTTTTAAATCTTTCGACTCTCACCTTACACCTATGCCTCTGGTTTTGGACTCCACTCCTGCGGAAAAGACCTTGGCTATTCACCCTATCTATGCCCCTCATGATTTTATAAACTCCAATAAGGTCACCCCTCAGACTCCGAAGCTCAAGGGAAAATAGCCCCAGCCTATTCAGCTACTTCCTATAGCTCAAACCCTCCAACCCTGACAACATCCTTATAAATCTTTTCTGAACCCTTTCAAGTTTCACAATATTCTTCCTGTAGCAGGGAGACCAGAATTGAACACAATATTTTAAAAGTGACCTAACCAATGTCCTGTACAGTCCCAACATCACGTCCCAACTCCTATACTCAATGCGCTGACCAATAAAGGCAAGCATACCAAATGCATTCTTCACTATCGTGTGTACCTGCGATGCTACTTTCAAGGAACTATGAACTGCACTCCAAGGTATTCGGCAACACTCCCAGGACCTTACCAGTAAGTGTATGTCCGCCCTGATTTGCCTTTCCCAAATGCAGCACCTCACATTTATCTAAATTAAACTCCATCTGCCAGCCCACCAGCCCATCTGATCAAGGTCCGGTTGTACTCTGAGGTAACCTTCTTCGCTGTTCACTACACCTCCAATTTTTGTGTCATCAGCAAACTTACTAACCATACTTCCTATGTCCACATCCAAATCATTTATATAAATGACAAAAAGCAGTGGACCAGCACTGATCCTTATGGCACATTTCTGGTCACAAGCCTCCAGTCTGAAAAGCAAACCTCCACCGCCACCCTCTGTCTCCTACCTTCAAGCCAGTTCTGTATCCAAATGGCTAGTTGCCCCTGTATTCCATGTGATCTAACCTAGCTAAACAGTCTGCCATGCGAAACCTTGTAGAACGCCTTACTGAAGTCCATTTAGATCACGTCCACCACTCTGCCTTCAACAGTCCTCTTTGTTACTTCTTCAAAAAACGCAATTAAGTTAGTGGGTCATGATTTCCCACATACAAAGCCATGTTGATAATAATAATCAGTCTTTGCTTTTCCAAATACTCACAAGTCCCGTCCCTCACGATCCTCTCTGGCAACTTGCCCACAACCAATGTCAGGCAGGTAAGGATGGTGTATTCCTTTCCCTTTAGAATGGTAGTGAGCAATTTACAATTTTAACAATGGTCCTACAGCTTTGTAGTTGCCTCATGTCTCACTCCACAAGCTTTCCAGCCCCCAGTTTAGACATTTGTTGCCATGTTGCTTTGTCAGAGGTTCCATCTGTTGGATGATATGTTAAACCAAGATCCTGTCTGCCTGTTCAACTGGGCATAGAAAAATGCTATGGCACTCTTCAGTGAAGAGCAGGAACTTCGTCTGGCCAACATTTATCCCTCATTCAACAACAATAATAACAAACTAAATGCTCACTTCTTCTGTTTGCCATTTGTTGTTTGTAAATTGACTTTCATGATTCCCCAGAAAACAGCAAAATACTTAAAAAGTAATTCTGAAGATGTGAAAGGCACTGCATAAGTACAATTTCCTCATGCATACTTTTTGAATAAAAGTAGAGTTGCCATAATCCTACCAGTCCATAGGGCTGCTTGCTCATTGGAGAGATGCAACTGGTGGTGGTTTAGCCTGAGGGTCACCGTGCCTCTGGAAAGGGGAGAGGTTGAAAAGAGGAGCCCTTCATGGTATCCTCAGCTGGTACAGGAATTGAATGCCACATTGTTGGATTTCCAATCCAACCAGCAGAGCTAACTGACACCCTTTCTTTTTAAATACAGAAAGGTGAATGACTGAATTTAAGAAGTACTTTCCCAGACATATCTTTTACGTTATGACTTTCAATTATTCATTAATATAGAATTTATAGCACAAAGACAGGCCATTTGACATGACCAGTTTTACTTAAGATGAAAGAATGGGTCTGTAAACTCTTTCACAGTTGCATTGAAAATTCTGTATGAGTTATTGGTTACGCCAGATGGCCGGAATCAATAAATTAGAACAACAGTGACTAAGTGCTGCAGAGAAAGGTCTAAATTCAGTCCAGTTTTGTAAATTTAACCATTACTGTCCTTTATGGAAAGCTGCATGATGGTGTAAATGCCATGCTGTCATCTACTAGAGAACAGGATGTCTGTGAATAATCTGTGGTTTTTATATCCTGGCACGGTCGTGTTGTGGTGATGTATCACACAGACAGCTGTAAGTTGATCTGAGGGAAAGAAGCCCCAGAGGCATTGGTTGAACCTCTAAGGAACATTGTCCACACAGATTCAACATCAGTCTCACTATCAGCGAAGGAGCCAACAAGTGAAAATAGTCTGTCAGACTTGGTTTTAATGCACCTCTGTGTTTCATAATGCTCATTGACCTCATCGAGTTATGGGATTTGCAATCTTGCTCCCACTCACTATTGCTCACTGCTATCCCTGTTAAACATTAAGCAATGTTGTCCCTGAGATGGATGCAGCATTGTGGCTTGTCCCCTTTATTGTGTTTAGTCTCAGCCTTGCTTTCAGCACTCTGTAACTTACTACTGCATCGGCAGTATAACCATAAATGAAATCAAACAACCGCCCTGAATCCAATGCATATCAGTGTTTTGTGACAGCTTCTTATGTGATGATACTCATGCATTGACGATGGGAGAAACCAGAGGCAATGTTTCACCACATTTTATACAGCTCAAAATATTCTATGTAAGGCAATCAGAGTCCAGAAGGATAAAATCTCCAGCTGTGCTGCTCGTTGTTTTTCCACAGTTCGAGAGAATAATAGAAACATTGCACCAAATGTTTGGTTGCTCCCCCTAATATCAACTTCCAAGACACTCCTGCCATTTTTATATTGTTGAACCTCTACAAGGTGTTTCTGGATGCCTTTCTGTGTTAAAGGCTCTGTGTAAATGCACATCAATGTTATTCACATCTCTATGGCTCTTCATTGAAACCTTCACGTGTTGGGGGAGTGGGTAGGTGGGCACAATACTGACAAAACTGAACCCTCTCACCCCCCCTTGCCAATGCCAATGGCGGAAATCCAAAGGATCACCTACATGCAAGCCTACACGGTAATTTTGGAAGCAAACTTTTCACATCAGCTGTTTGGTTATCTTCAATGAGTATCAGATTATCACTGCAATTGTGCAGTATTCACTGAACCAGAGAGTCATGGGTTTACTACTTGCTGACAGGAGTTGGAACACAAGATCTTGGCTGGCACCCCATTACAGTTCTGCAGTTATGCCAAAGCCCTGTCTACATGTTCTGATAGTTACCATGACACCAATCAAATAAGAAGAAGATCTTAAACACAAAGCTGGGACCTTGAACAGCATATTTTCCCGAAAGTGAGAAACCAGATCAGCTTGATGTTCATCTCATTACGGATGTGCTGATGTACATGACTGATGATTTCCTGTGTGAAGTGCTTTCAGGAATCTGGATGATCTGATAAGGCTTTATATAAATTAATATTAAATAGTATAGTCTGAAAAATTTTATACATTTTCCATGGAAGCCAAGGATTGAAAATAACAAATCAGAACTTCAAAATATTAACTCCATTTTTTCATGTAATTGTTAAAAATTGTTAATTGTGACATGTAAAATTTTGTTGAAACCCCTTCCCACACACCTCCCCTTCCCCCATTACTGATCAGACCACCAATACCCTCTTCTTATTTTTCATAGAGGTATTAATAAATCTGGGGGAGCAACTGCCAGATCATACTACCCAAAATTCATGGAAACAAATTTTATCCTGTTCAGGCTAAAGCTTGTACCATGCATGTTAACTTTATTACATCAAGTTTTGTGTAAGTGGTGTGCTAATGCAGAGCTTAAAATGGTGAACTGGCAAGCTGAAAGCTGTGAATTCAAATCTTATCATAATCCCAAATTGGAAAATTGAATTCAATGTATAATAATAACTTGTATTAATATAGTGACTTTATCATATAAAAGTGTTCTAACTTTCTTTCCAGAACTTCTATCACATGACATTTGGCACAGAACTAGATATGAGGTGCTATTAGGAGCAAAACCTTGGTCAAATAATGAAGAGAGAAAGGAAAAGAGGGTCAAGGATGAAATTATACCATTTACAACTGCCAGTGGTGAAGAGATTAACATCTGAATGTGGAAGAGGTTAGAATTTGGTATCACAGAGATGTTGGACAGTTGCAGGGCTGGAAAAGGTTACATTCTTGGGGAGAAATAGGGCCATGGAGGGATTTCGGGAGTAGATTTTTAAATTGAGTCATTTCTGGGCCTTGAACTAAGGTAAGTCAACATGAGTGGAAAAAATTTGATATGAGTTAGGATAAGCTAAAGTTTATGTAAAATGGCTAAGACCATAAGAACTCAGGACCAGGAGTAGACCATTCATCACTTCGAGCTTATTCTGCCACTGAGAGATCATGACAGATCTGCTACTTGAACACCATTTTCCTGCAACATAACCCTTGATATCTTTATAAAATGTAGAGAAGTATCAACCTCAGTCTTGAATAAGTTCAATAACTGAACCTCTATGGTAGATCATTGAAAGAATCACTGCCCTCTGAGTAGAGTCATAGAGTAGTACGGCATGGAAACAGGCCCTTTGGCCCAAACTGGTCCATGCTGACCATGGTGCCCACTCAGCTAGTTCCAATTGCCTGTGTTTGGTCCATATCACTCCAAATTCTTCCCATCCATGTACCTATCCAAATGTTTTTTTAAATGTTGCTATTGTACCTGCTTCAACCACTTTCTCTGGTAGCCCATTCCATATATGCACCACTCTGCGTGAAGAAGTTGCCCCTCAGCTCTTTCTTAAATCTATCCCTTCTCACCTTAAACCTATGCCCTCTAGTTTTCAATTCCCCACCCCTGGAAAAAAGACTAAATACATTCATCCTATCTATCCCCTCATGATTTTATATACCTCAATAAGGTGCGCCTGTGTTCCAAGGAATAAAGTCCTATTCTGGCCAACCTCTCCCTATAACACAGGCCTGCTAGTCCTGGTAGCATTCTCATAAATCTTCTTTGCACACTTTCCAGTTTAACTATGTCTTTCCTATAAACAGGTGACCAAAACTGTACACAATACTCCAAGTGTGGCTTCTCCAATAACTTATACAAGTGTAACATAACATCCAACTCCTATACTCAGTGCCTCGACCAATGAAGACCGGCATGCTAAATGCCTTCTTCACCACCCTGTCTACCTATGACGCCGCTTTCAACAATCTATATATAAAGAAACTCCACCTCATCTTGGCCCTAACTTGCCTAACCTTATTCTGACATTGGGTCTCCCAGTCTTACATGCTCCCCACAGCCCCACTGCCACCCAGCCAAGCAAAACATCAGTCAATCCCTGTAAGAATTTTGTGTGTTTCTTAATATCAGTGAATATAAGCCCATTTATTTGTTCCTCGTAGGATAATTTCTCCATCATGAGAATTAATTTTGTTGCATTCCCTCTATATGTCTGCAAAAAGTCTTCGTTTCACCAGGCACTTACTTTTTATTACAGTTGATTTTTTTTTTCTCTCTGCTCAAATTCTCTTGTAACAAGAGCCAATAAACCATTTGCCTTAATTGCTTACTACACTTGTTTAATGACTGGAAGTTAATATACAAGTCTGATGTGGTCAGACTTATGGTACAAGTGTGGTACACTGATGTGGTTTCAATAAAGCTCTGAATAACTGTAGCATTACCTCACTATGTTTGTACTCAACTCATCTCGCAATAAACAGTAACATTCTAGTAGCTTTCCTGATTGCTTGCTGTACCTCCATACTAAACTTTTGCAATTCATGCACTATGACACCCAGATCCCTCTATTTCAGAGATCTGTAATCTCACACCATTTAAATATATTTAATTTTTATTCTTCATGCCTAAACAGGCAATTTCACATTTTTTCTACATTATACGCCATTTGTCAGATCTTTGCTTACTCACTTAACCTATCTATATCCCTTTGTAGCTTCCTTACGTTCTTAATAAAGCTCAAGCAGGTTTGTCAACCTTTAGTTGCCTTTCATAAATTCTAGGCGAGCTTTGTTTAGTCGACTGTGAAAGCATGGAAAATTTCAGGACCAGTTTTGCTAAGGTCGGGCAAAGTAGGGCAAGATCTTTCTGCCAATAAATTCTATATCTGTGTGCTCTGCTCTCTCACGGCGCCTGACAAAGGGGATGTGCTCCAAAAGCTTGTGTGATTTCAAATAAACCTGTTGGACTGTAACCTGGTGTTGTGTGACTTCTGACCTCATGGTTTAACATTATTGATTGGAAAGGTGACTAAAACATTGAACTGTTCACTATTTGTAGCATTTTATATTTTGTTAACAGATCTCCAGTGCTGTATTTTATTTTCTCCATTTTGAATTATGTAACAGATGCTGATTATTTAATCAGAGATAGTAGGAACTGCAGATGCTGGAGAATCCGAGACAACAAGGTGCAGGGCTGGATGAACACAGCAGGCCAGGCAGCATCATAGGAGCAGAGAGGCTGACGTTTCGGGCCTAGACCCTT